GAATTATGAAAAACAGAAGACGAAATGGTCAGCACAAGTGCGAAGAGTAAACCCGATTATACTCGATGAGTATGAACATTAGTAAAAAAAATGTCTGAGAGTGGATTTGAAGAGAAAGCGATTTGAAGAAAGGAAAAGACTCGAGAAATTTGGCAGGGACATTTTTTAGAGCTTGAATTCATATAACATATGAAGTAGAGAAGCTTGAAATAGAAAATAAAGAGAATTATGCAACAGAAACGATTGAAAACACGTCGTCATCCACGCAGTTAGGTGAGCCGGTACCGGAATCGACTTGCCCCGACCACCCAATATGACGCGATCGACCACGTAGGCCAAGTCGGGTGATCATCGGATAGCTCTCAACGGCATTCTACACCCAAGGACCCATGAGCACTATCTGTAGCTCTAAGTTGACTATCCCATGGGTTAAGGTGGCATATGAGGAAGACCAGGGCGGATGACTGAACGAATCTGGCATTCCTGCCATCACTGATTCAACAATGGAACCAGAAACCTAATCGATGAAACTCACATGGGTGAGTGGGAAGAGACGGCTTATGCAATAAATATTGGTCCCAGCAATTTCTGGTGTAAGATCTCTTAGTGGTAAACTCGGTTCATAGTGAATTGATCGAGTATTGAAGAAGCTACACCTCATTAAAGAAACAGGAGAAATTTCGAAGAGTGGATGAGATCGACTCTCCAGTAATCATAGAGGGGGAGCTTCAGAAAAGTAGCAAATAGCCTATCAGTTCGATAAATAAAAAGCATTGAGAGAAATTCCCAGATTGGACGGATATAAACCGTACATGATTCAGCACATTAAGACGGTTGTATTGAAAAATTTACTGTCAGAAACACATAAGGGATGTACATACTTCGCAAATACAGTACACTCCAGTAACCAATTACAAAGTGACTACTACCACACAACAGGTAAGTAGAGAAGTTGCTATAAGACCTGACTATGAGATATGGAGTGACGGTCCTACATGGGTGATTGAGGATGTCACAAGAGATATACAATGATACGAGGAACTCGAACGTACAAAATCATCGTGGTTTCGTCCTCAGTCATGGCTCAATCCGACAGGTAAGAACGATGTCTAGGACTAATGCCGAAATCGACTTTCGAACTGGTAACGTTCAGTACATAGATAGGTTCTTCCACGAAAGACATGTAACAGTACGAGTCGTCACAGTTCTGGATGCCCTCCAACTCGAGTAACAACAGCGTGTTTTCACCAGAATGAAGAAAAGCTGCTGGCACGTAGAGGGTGTACTGAAAATTCAACCAGTAGGACTTACCCTTCCAAAAATCGTCTCTGATCAAGTTTGACGACGGTCGGCATGTGAACTTCTTTACCTGTGGTCCTTCACTCGCCCAGTATCGTCCCAAATTGTTTCCGTTCAGTATCGCCACTCCTTTTCCCCAGCCGGTTGTGTTAAGGAATGTATCCGTGGGAGTATCCACATGGAAAGTACCATGGTAGACTCCATATCTGCCGGCTGCTTGCTGAAAACCGATATAACCACTACTTTCAACAGTGATTCCTCCACATTCATCTTCGCTGTCATTCAACCCAGCTTTTGTGCGAGAATGCTCCCAAAATCTTAACACCTAAAGGCACTGTTCATGAAAAAATGGTTTCGGAGATCTGCACATGGTTTGAATTCGATGCCCCCTCTGATACCATTTGTGCAGGAATGAGGTCG